AAAATTCATAATGACAACTGCTGCCATATTTCTAAAATGTAGTTATATGCGTCTTGGTGAAAAATATCGGAAAAATAAATCTTTTATTCTTTCTGAAATTACATACTGGATAGATTCTTCTGGTTTCGTACATCGCAATGGAATCGGGATGAAATTTTTGAGTTTTTGAACGAGACTAGATAAATCAACATATTCATCATTCTGATGAACTGGTAAAAATTCATTACGAAAACATTGTATTACTCCAGCCATCTGAAAAAGAGAATGACGATCATAATTAGCATTTTATTCATAAATATAGGAAGTTAATTCGAGAATAGGGTGAGCGTGTGTGTAAACTGCACTTGTACCGAACAAAATCTGTTCTTATCCTCAATTCTGAAGAGAAGAGTGTTGATCTTGTGGTATGAACTTTTATCCAATAAACTACAATGAAATAAACGAAGCAATAGCAAATACTCAGTGATTGGTTTTCTGGTTCTTGGATGGGGCTAGATATAGCACTAAAATCAATATACAGAGAAAATTTTTCTCTATCGAACTGTGTTTTTGCCGTTTTTTTGAAAAATAGCATGTAAAAATAGAAAGAAAATTGAGAGCGCTATCATATAGCATCGAAATAATTGCTTCAAGAGAATCGACCATCAGATAGTGCTAGATGATGGAATTATCTTATAAGTGGTACTGATCAAAACACAAGTTGAAAAGAGAGTAACAAAAAAAAGTGACATTGGTCGATTGAATAAATAAATGGCGACTATTTACGTATTCTTTTAGATTTAAAGTAAATAAATTTTGAAATGAAAGAACAAACATTTCTCTATAAAATAGTATGCTTATAGATTAAGAGCCTTGCGAAGTGAGCTCAGCAAGTCCTAAATGATTATTTTGAAGCTGTAGGTTCTTATATCACTATCTCCCTTGTAATTCTACACACAAAAGAAGTTGTAATATAATTTATGCAGTATAAAAGGCTATGCCTGGAAAAAGAACGTTAATTTTCTCCATTCAAATTTAATTTTCTTGCCTCTAGAAGTCCTAGAGAAATATTTTAAAAGATTCAAATCGATTGAGACGAACACATTTCAAGACTCTCATTGATAATAAAATAACTCACTATTTATTTCATAGTTTTTCGTAACCTGAGCTGGTACCCAACCTAAAATAAATGAAACAAAATTCATCAGTTAAAGTTTTATATAAATTAGTTCTCACTTACATTGTATATGTTTTGTACCAAATTGTTTATTAGTTATAATAATAGTAAAAAGAACAAGCATTAAAACAGTATATTTATACGGAAGACAATCCGCAAAACTATCATCATAACATGATGCGTCAAAGACAAGCCATGGTAAACATGTAACTATACCAATGATATCCATTATATTAGATTCGAAAAAACATCACACATCTTGTTGTAATAACAACAACAACAGAAAAAAAAGTAATAACCAAAAAACAATGAAAGAAAAAATTAATCATCGACCATTGAATCGTCTTCTTTTGTGTTACTTGAAATTCTGAAAGATTGAAACAAAATAATGCTGATCTTATGAAAAATTTACATTTAGAACAATTCAAACCTTTTTTTTTATTGCCTTGTTTTGTTGAATGTTATTTTAATTTAGAAACAAAAAAACCATCCAAATTATATAAATGCGGATAATATCGACGACAATATTTCATAAATGGATGAAATGATGTGCCTTTAAAACTAAAAGTAAATAGAATGAAAAAGAAGAAATTCAAATCTAGAAATATTTATTTTTAACATACTTTGTAAAACCTTCTATACCAAATTCTAAACCTGTTTCAACAAGTTTTACTGGTTGATTATTTAATGCATATTGTACGACTGTTTCATTTTCTTAAACCTATTTGAATACAAAACTTTTTATTATTATTATTTTCTCTTCTTTTCAATCTATTCATCTTACTAAGATTAAACAAGTTGAATTTTCATTAATAGAATCGATTACATTTAATAAAATTTGACGTTGTGCAGTAAAACATCGTTGAATATCTTTTTCATCCTAATGTTAATAAAATATAAATCAGTTTTTTTTTAATTATATTTCCATAAAGATTGACTTTAGAATTTTTTACTTCTGGATCTTTTGCTATAACACCTGTACCACTACATGGTGCATCAACAAGACATCTATCAAAACTACCCATATGCTAGAAATAAAACGTTTATATTATTGATAAAAAAATTGAAAATAAAAAATTATTGTGATGATCAGTTTCTGTGAACTTGAGTCCAATTAAGTTTGCATCTAGAAGGAACTTCAATTGATCTTATGAGATAATGCTTTCAAGTAATAAATTGTTTTTAAGCTCAGATTCTCGTAAGACATCAAACGTTTGAAAAATAATAAGTGCTCTTAGGTCTTTCTTCCGGAGTAAATAACCATTTTACAGAAATTCTAGGCTAGAGCACGATATGCACGAACAAATCGAATAATGATATTTCACCTACTGATAGATCTAGTTAAAAGAAAAATCTTCTGAAAATTTCAGCTCAAACGAAATTTTTCTTCACAAGATATTGAATTTTCAAAAATCTGACAATCTTCTATCGTTCGTAGGACATAAATATTTTTTGCAAATTTAATATCGGTGTCATAGCCTGAAATTCTAATAAAATAGTTATAACTTTGAAAGAAAAGTCTAAGACCATTTACCTTTTTTGAAGGATTCCATATCTTACTTGATTCAATATTATGCATAGAATGCGAACTCAAAAACGATTTATCATGTGAAATAGTTCTCTCGTTAGCTTCCCGATTATACTCGAGCAGCTGACCCTTGTCGTTTAAGTTCATATTGGGTGTACAAGAAGGTCTCGATAACACTAGAAAAGTCCTAAAAGGGTTCTTGCCTATAGACCTCCAGAACTGAGTTGTGATTATTTTATTGAATTTTGT